CTCTCGAACATGTCTTGATTTGCSTCTTTGGAAGCAAAAGACAAAATCMYAGGAGTAAAAAATGTCARTACTCGTTAGAAGTGTAGCATTAATTGTTGGCAGTAAAATCTGTCTATTCATAATACATCATAAAGCAGATCAATACCCAATAATTCTTTCCTGGTTTTGAGTTTTTCTGGAAACAACACAAGCAAATCCAGGAAAAACCATCCACTCAGGAATCATTTACTGCTAATCAGGTTTGACAGTTTAAATTCATTTGTAAATTCAAAGAAAAAATCAAAGAACACTTTTGGTTTTAAATTAGATATTTTATTTAAAACTAGTTGATTTCATTTTCAGAAGTGTTTCTAGAGTTTTTGAAGCTGTAAGAATTTTGTTGAAATCTCTCTTCCAAAGTAAATACTCTTCACATACAAAGGCAAGGGTTTTTTTAAAGAACAGCTGTCTCATCATGTTTCCTTCAGCAGCTGACATTTCCTTGTCACCTGCTCCAGTGGGGCACAGGTCCTGTAGATGGGGACTGTTTTAGCCTCGTCCCTCACTGCCTTGGAGCTGGCAGAGGGAGAGAAGTCRGGCTTGGTATCATTGACAAACACTGGAAAATGTATTTATCCCTTCTCTTTTATTAAAAGAAAATAATATGATTCCAGRTTGTAAAACCTTATGATAAGTAAGGGTGGTTGTTGTTGAGCAGCAAAACTTTCTGAAACATTATTTCAGAAATCCTGCATAAGAGTGTATGAGATTCATATGTGGATCACCCCAAACTTGTGGCCTTTTTAGATTTTTCACCACAGTCAAGTCATACACATAATTTTCATATGCCAATGTATGTAGATCATTTGATCCACTTCTAATTTCTGTTACACCTTATTTGAGTTGTGACAGCGAATTCCCACTAAAGAATTGCCCAGACCTGTGTAAGTCTGATGAGSCTTGACTTAATTCACATCAGATTTATCTTCTGCTGTAGACAGCGTCACACTGGTGCACACAGTTGGGATGTTTCATTCAGCCTGACAGTGGTGCTTTAGCTTGCGAAGGAAGCAGCACCAGCAGCTCAGAGCAGTGTCTGCCTGAGTTTCAAACTGAGTAGATGTCACATTACAGACTTACAGGCACTTGGCCTTGGTGCTGTGTCAYCTACTTCTAACACCACCATGGGTCTAGTTACTGATCCCTATCAATGTCCATCAAACATTTCTACAGCTTATAACCATTACAGGAGCAGTTATTGCTGCAGTTAATATCCTGGAACCAGCAAATTTCTTATCTCTTATGGATAAGAAAGTAGGATGACAAAACAAGTCAGGTCCTGTGTGCTTCACATTGTCTGTAAAATGTCTATTAAATCAGGTTACAAGAAGATCAGACCCGAAGCAAGCGTGCTGGAGAGGTTGTAAACTTCAGGGAGGCAGGACACATTAGTGGTGAAAGAAAAGAAAAAAAAAAAATACATTAATGTTTCAGGCTTTAGCTGTTTTATTCTTCAGGCAGAAGCTCTGGTTCCCTGTTGGGTCAATACGGTGTCAGTTCCTATCAGGGCTTAATTTAATTTAGTCCTCACAATGTTACTGTACTACAAGTGAGAAAATGGTGYGCCTGATATCATCCACCATGCAAATCAGACTCCTCTGCCAGAGAGTTCTGGAAAATTGAAGTTTTTGCAAACACAATAAAATTCTGCTTTCCATTTTGCYCTTACATTTAAACACAAAAAGAATATCAAGAAAAGAAAGAAAAAAACAGATTATATTTTCATGAGACACAAGCAATATGTGTTTGTTGGCACAGTAAGATCACCTTAACAAAATAATTATTTTCCCATGGCCCTGATAAAAATTATTTCTTTTCAAAATACTAAAAGTTGAGCAGGGAGATAAAGAACTTGTTCGCTCCTTAAGCCCAGTAAAAGGTGATCAGAGGGACTACAATATTACTTTCATTTTCTACAGTGGTCATCCAGCTCCCATCCCAATTTTAATCCTGCAGCTTTTCCAAGAAGATATTGCCAGAAACATGTCACTGTTAACTAAGCTTTAATATCTGAACTTTATAAAGTATAATTGATACAATAGTATAATAGATATATTTAGAGTAGTCAAAATATAGATAAATGCCCAGAACAAGATACCTTGGAAGACATTATGAGGATGTTTAAGGGTCTTTCTGTACTCTGGTTGTTCTGTGTCCTCCCGTAGTGTGCAGTTGCCACCTATTAATWAATTACTGACATTTAACAAATACACCCATTCTGGAACAGAATTGCATTGAATTGCTTTCCAATTTGTCAGGTCCTTTTTGTCTTACTCTTCCTCTCCTAGATCACGTTTGTGGCCAGTAAATTGGTTTCTTAAATTCAGTCTCACATAGTTTGCTCTGAGTTAGCTTTCTTCTCCACAGGACACTGCTGTATACTGTACCTTTAAATCCCCAAACCAATTTAATTAAATTTCATTACAGGCAGTAGACCTGAAACAAAGTAATGAAAGCAGCCATCATGTCAGGTGGTATTTATCTAGCCATTAAATTGAAAATACCCCCTTTAGGCTCTTAAAAATTAGTTTCAATATTTAACACCTAATAGCTTTTGGAATTGTTGATGGGGATAGTTTTAATAAATTKGTTACAAACTGTTTACCTTTACAAGGAAAGGGGCTTGTTCCTTGCAGCAGAAGGGAGCTAAAGATAGATGAYTTAAAATTATTAGRGWTTTGAAATACTGTGAGGTCTGAGAGCTGCCCACAATCTGTTGAAAAACACCATGAAAGTCATCAYACAGTGATAGGGGTACRCCTTRTTTAATCAAAAGCAATGYCAAGGCACTAGAATACTTGTCTTARAGTTTACTGTTTGYCTCACTTGTTTTATTGAGCTGATTTGGCTTGCCAGCTTGAGAGTTGGTAGCAGAATTTATTTGAAGACCTCATGATAAGCACTACTGTCAGGAGAGAGAAAAATGAAAATTTACAGGAAAGAGAAGGAAAAATATCCACTGCAGAGAAGACTGCTAGTGCCAGCATGCCAAAAAGAGTTTCCTTGTTGCTCAGACACCATGCAGTGCTGAGTCTGAGGATGCAATGTTGACAAAGTACCTGTTGRTACCCTGCACAGCAAAGCTGGTGCCATATGCTTAAAATTATTAGGGTTTAATAATTTAATCCCCCCCATAGTCCATGGGACAGGGCAGGTGTCAGGGATTTATTTCATCCACTTGCCATCAGAACCAGATATKAATATATATTAATGTATACATTACAGATGGAATACACAACAGGAAAAAAAATTTGGGAGAAGTCACTTTTTTCTGAACAATGCRCCCAGGTTTTACTTCAGGAAAGTGAGAGTGCAAAAGGAGAGTATATTTTGCCATRAATGCATCCAGATCCACAAAATTGGAAGCATTTCTACCTTGCTCTGTGTAAGCATGGTTGATGTCTCTTCTTTTTGCAGGAAGAGATTAATAAATAGTGCATCACATTTCCTTTTATCAGATCCAAAGTCTGTCCTCTTCATCTCTTCCTCTTCTTCAGTCTGTTTAAAGGAAAATAAATAATCAGAAAGCTACAACAGAATGAAACAGTCACTTTTCTGGTAAGAAATTCTGACCCCAGAGAAGAAGAAAAGAAACCATTTTTCGTCATCAGGATAAAGACATGGGGTTGTCACACGTTTGCTCCTTCAGTTTCATAGTAGGGAAACCACTGCACAAGTTACTGTTAACCAGAGATAAAAAAATAATGCTATATATGTTACTTGTAGTCTTGATGCCTGGATAAGATATTTGGACTTAAGCTATTCATCATAACTATAGCTAKAAACTACAATATCTTCTTTAAAAATAYATGTATTTTMTATATATTTACAWTYTATATATAGTAATTTTCAATTTGATTTAAGATGTTAGGGCTTYTCAGATGTTTTTCTTTCATTCTTGTGAATCCTCCCTCTAGCTTGGAGGCTGTGCTTTGTGTAGAAACTGCTTTTTGRAGACTTGATGTAAATTGGTAAGATTTTATATAGAAAATCTTGGTTTAAGCAGGTGRTATTTAAGATCAAGTACTTGTTTTTTCAAGTTACTCTTGAAAAGAGTTACTGGTTTTTATTGATTAATTAGATTTCTTCCTTATATTTTCRTCTACAACTGTGATTAAATATGAAGTGCAGTTCAGTGAAGTGTCCTCAACATGAGCAATAGAAGACAAACAGTCACTAGCGACTCCAGGGAAAGTCCTGACTGTACTGCAAAAGCCATAGCCTGGATTCACTCATCCTCATTTTTGTCTTTGAAATGGCAATGGGGTTGGATTATTGCAATGTATCATGGTGCAGGAGTAAAATATTAATTATTTAAACTCTCAGCTTTTTATTTCTGAAGTAGCTGTTTTTAATATTTGTATAACTTTGTTGCGTTTTTTTTAATACATCACCATTAACACAGTTTTAAATACAAGGAATAGAATTTCTTTCTGTGCACCTTGGAGAAAACCTCAACAAGGAAAATACATTGATTCTTTTTCTCTCATGTGTGAACAAAAGGGCAGTTAGTATAACTAAGCTAAACAGATGTGTAGTGTGGTAATGCTGAAACTTCCCAATCTACTTATCCCAAATCCTCTCAATAAAATGGAAAATATTTCAAACCAGAATGCCATTTGCAATGTGAAAACAGAAGTGTGGGAAAAAAAAGACAGAACTGTTAAACAAATGACCTAAAAACACCTAAATCATTTGAATGATTGAACCTAAATCATTTGAATCTTTCTGAGATGTATTACTTTATAGAACTTTCTACATTTTAATTTTTCTCCTGCTGTGTCAGTACAGTCAGCTCATCCTATAGTGCATCACTAACTACATTTCCCACCCAGTGGCAGGAAGAAGACAGCAGCCTACTGGTGTATCTGCAGTGAAAACACCAGGGAAAAATACTCTGTTTCAAACAGGGATCCACATGGCATTTTCACTGACCGATTTGCAATGCTTTGGTGTTGCAGGATGGATGGTCACAGTATCACTTCGTAGCCTCATCTTCAACAATAGAAAGGGATCGGCAAAGACCGTACTCGTCATCCCGCACGCCGTCCATCTCTCCCGTGCGCATGTCTCCGAACAACCGCTCAGGTAAGGCCAGGMGAGGCAAAGGCACAGGTAATCCATCACTGCCATTTCCCCTGACATCTGCATTGTTGCTAATGGTGGTGGAAGGGCACGAAGTGTATCCTTTACTGTCACCAARTTATCTGCTCAAAATGGGACTTTTTTTTTATTATTATCATCTTGTAAAGTGCTACAGAAGAAAGAAYATTCCATAAATTTTGTCATGAGTTCTCCCAAAGTGTTTTCCTGATAGAGATTACCTGACTAGATCTCGGGGCAATGGTGTCCATTAGTAGCATGAGGAAATTCTGTTACTCAATTTGTTAGTCATGTTATTTATGACCACTTTGCACACTTAGCAGAAGTTTAAAGATGCACACTACTTTTTTGTCAGCTCTTATTCTGGGTATGTGTGCATACATATGCATGTGCAAATTTCACAGATTGACTACAGGTCTTCCTGTAACATTGATAACGTATTTGCACAGCTATTATCAATTCTGTATGGTCTGCAAAATTAATTAATGTTAGTATCTCAACTTGGGCCATAGTGTAAATTTATTTTTCTATTCAGAAATCAGGTAATCTTCTCCTCAGTTTATTCTAAGGTAGAACATGCCTTCATTAGATAAAGCCATTCCTAGTGAAGAACTTTCAAGATAAGCAAGCATAATGTCAGACTTTCACTGRGTTTTCTGCTCCTTTTTCAATCAAATGCTGTCAGTCCATAGGTACACCAAGAGTTTAGGATTAAAATTGGCCAAACTTATGATTACCATTACCATTATGCCATACTTTGTCTTTTGAGAAAATTGTTTTGTTAATTATGTAGAAGCTGCCTCTTAGTCTTGCAGAGCAACAACTGAGGAGATGTGAAAATGTAGCCAGAAGTACAGTGAGAGCTGCTATTCTGTTTTTAAAATCTGCCATTACAAAAGTCCATAAAGTGCTCTTGTTCCTTTTCTCTTCTCCAAAATCGCATTTTGGCTGTAAGTGCAAGGTACTTGAAATGTCTGGCGCTGAGATCYTAGTTCTGTCTCTTGCCAGAACCATCTTCTCACCTCTGTTACTCTAAATTTTGGGTGGAATTTTACTGCCATCATCAGTTATCATGAGATTGGAAAAGGACAAATAATAGTGGCTGTTTCTGAAGGAAGAAGAGCCCATGTCATTACACACAGGTCAGCTGAATGTCAGTCTAGAAAATTGCTGGAACAAATAATCACAACTTGAGTACCTCAAAGGTAGTAGGAACAKAAGATATCAATTAACTCTAGGAGTATCTATTTCTACATAATAATGGAAGTTGCTGTGTGTCTGGTAGTATCCATATCAAATACAAACATTGATTCAATGCCATTTGCTCTTATTAAATCCATCTGAACTCCTGCTACAGCACAGTTAAGCCACTTTGTGGAAAGAAATGTCAGTAAGTACAATATTCTGTAATCAGTAAGATTCTTTCACACATTTTCATGGACAAATTAAGGCAAGCTAGCAAACAGTTCAGAAAACATCATGTGTGTTGAAAAAAGAAAACTTACTGAAAAATTCACAAGGAAAGGGTATTATTTATTGCCGAAATGGAAGTATTCATTTGCTTGGAGTCCTGCCTGGGTCCAGTATTCAGTGGTTTTAGTAATGGCCCAGATAATATGCAGAAGTTACATATTACCTTTGTGGGTGACATAAACCTGGGCGAAACTCATGTTCTTTGAAGGGCATTACAGAAAATTCAAAGTGATCCTGAGAAATTGGAGGTAATGTTCAAAGGGGAAAAAAATACAATCCTTTAAAAATAAATTGTAAGGAGAATGTCTGGCTAGGTGAAAGTTCTTTAGAAATTGTTTGGGATTTTTGTCAGTTGCACACAGGAATTGGAAGGTGGAAAAATCAGAATATGAGAATATACAGAATGGACTGTAATTGTTTAATTCAAGCAGAAGAGACATGAGATGGAGACAGTGGGAARAGGCACAAACCAAGTCCTCAAGCACGTAACAGCCAGCCGTGAAGAAGAACGGTGTGAACTTTTCCTGCTTTCATAGCAGACAAATGGAAATAATGAGCAGCAAGGAGTCAGGCCAGACATCAGAGAACATTTCCTCTCAGTGGGGAAAGAAAGCACTGGAACAGACTGCTTGGAGAAGTTATGTGATCTCTGCCATTAGAGATCTTCAGTTCCAGATTAAAATCTGTCAAGAATTATATTGATATACTGGATCCTAGCTTGGGGTAAAGAGTTGAAGTGAACGAACTCACACTGTCCCATCCATCCCTAGGAGTGGGTGGTAACAGGCTCAAACTAATGTAGAGAGCTCTGTAATCTTTTCTGTGTCCTTTAAGAATAAGAGCAGAAAAACATTATATCACTTTTCAGTCTAACACCAACCAATGACTTCATGTTTGCTTCCAGTAAAAACTCTGAAAGAGGGTGCTTCTGCATTTTAACACTCGCCAGAAAGTTGCTTTCCTCTCAYGGGAAGAGAGAGAGAATTCCACATAAAACAGAGAGAGGTGATTTTGTCTGTATCAGTCAGTTTTTCAAAACACCAGCATGTTTATAACCACTACCAGAGTATGTGAAAAAAAACGTGTCTCACTCTTGTCGAGGTTTGCGTTCTGGCCCGCTCCCCGTTAGACTCAAGCTGCCATTAGCTGATTTGGTAGTTTAACGTCATGTTTCTTTTTATCTGCTGGATTACCAGCCTTAGATTTACATCACTATTGACAAACAGTTTAAAAGCAATCCCCAGTTCTAATGGCTTCATAAGAAAGAACATCTGTCMTGCATTTGCTCTCTAAATTCAGAGGCCAGGGCCAGCATAACCAATCGAAGCAGAATTCAACGTCACTTGTTCTTCCACACGCCTTAGTTAAGTGCAAGTACTTYCCTGTTGCTTAACTAAAAAATGTAACATAGTTTTGAGATGCTGAAAGATACGCTTCAAGGTCAAGCTTCACAGAGTTTGTATTACATTTTTTAATTTTTTCTTGTTTTTAAGCAAAAGCATTGCTTTTGAGCTTCTTTTGACATGCCAAGTAATGGGTGGAGGCAGGGGGTTGTGTGGGGGTAAGCACCAGCTCTTTAGTTATTTCTGTGCCACTGTGCCCTTACGAGGCTCTGGTGGGCTCTGCCCCTCACCCTGTGCTCCTCCTGCCCTCCACAGCAGGGAAAGTGCATTTTATCTACCAACACCTAAATATATTGAAGTCAGTTTACTTGAAAATCATTAATTTTTTTCCTTTGCTTTTCTCCTTTTCCTAAGCATCACCAAGCTCTAAGGCTTCATGATCAGTGCCAGTGATCACCTTCACATTCCCCAGTGTWTGAGACTCAAGTATAAAACTCAGATCTCTTTTTCATCACCTCTTATTTCCTCCTTTTAGCCATACCATGAGTATAGATGATGAAAGATTTAGTTTTAATAAACATAGCTTAAAGTAGCAGTTGTCGCTTTAATGGCAGTTGTTCACACATACGGATATTTAAAGACCGAGAAATTATTTGACTTACCTTTAAGTGTTAGGCATTCTTCGGTATATATTTTCTAGGGGGAAAAAAAAGTGGTTTTCTTTTCTTCCTTTTCCATTAAAATAATTTAGTTGGTTTGTTTATTTTCAAGAGAAAAAGTAAGAAACCATTTTATAAGGGTTTTCCCATGCATTTGAAAGTTAATGGTCTTTTCAATGGAAATAAAGTAACCATTTTGGGAAAGAAATTGAAGTGTTCCACCAGAAAGTTTTGACAAGTTAAAGAAACTGAAAAGCAAAAGTGAAATAACAGCATCTTTTCCTCCATAGTTTGGTAGTGTTTCTTCAATGAGCTTCATGTTAGAAAACTAACAGATATGAACTTTACTGAAATGCTTACTCAAGAGTTAAACCCTGCATCCACTCATACATGATTAAGAAAAAACATTCATTTTTGTTATCTAGCAAGTGCCCCAGCCTCACCTCGAGAAATGATCAGCCTAAAAGAAAGAAAAACAGACTATGAATCAACTGGAACTAATGCCACTTACCATGGAAATAAGGGAGAACACACTTCTAGGAAAGACACCATGACAGGTGAGATTTTGCATGCGTTGCATATGTGATAATCAGCTTGATAGAGCACTGATTTTATAGGATTGGCTGGGCTTGCTGCACTGTGGAAAAGAGTGAACCTGCTTTGGTTAATTCCCAAGTTTTTGCCACCTTGAGAAATACAACTSAAGATACATTTGAATGAATACAACCCTATGTGAAAATGATTTGTGAACACCATGGTTTTTCACAGAAGAAAGGCTCTGAATCCAATTTTGCATGCCTTTTCCAGTTTTACATTTGTTTTCATTTCAGAAGAAAGTTGGTTGATCACTTTGAATTAACTGGTATATTTGAGCATGTGCAGTGATCCCTAACGTCTATCTTTTGCAGGGAATGTTCTCCAGGATCAGTTAACCCATTTTGTATGTCAGTATTCACAGAAAATTTCTGGCTRATTGTGAAGTATGTCCATGTTACTTTCTCAGCTGGGCGGATTTAAATGCAGTGATTTTCTCTGTGTGTTACGGCACCTGTTGCAGGTTTCTTTGAAGGCCTCTCTTCCCCAGTGAGCTCATAATTCTCTTAACATTTCACTAATTAGAAAATTTTGAGTGCTTTGCRCAGTGCTGTACCTCTTCACCAATTCTCTTGCAAAATGCACGTTGGTCTCCATCACTGTTGTACAATATAATTCTTGAACATTTTGTCACATTTATATAGTGCCAAGCAATCACGGTCTGCTCTTCTCCAAATGCTGCCTCAGGGCAGGCAAAAAATCACAGTGAGAAGCTGCACTTTCTGGATGCTTGTTGCCTTCTCCCATGCCCTCTTTGGAGGTCTTGGTCAGAAGCAGAATGGGTTGCTCACCACAAACATGTTGGTGCAACATCAATCCATCCAGAAGTTCCATCTTTCAAGACTGTGTTCAGGATTTGAAGATACTCACACTAAATATCCCATGTTAGATGTCACTATGTAATCAAAACCTAAAGACCAGCCTTGGAACTTGTGTGACAATGCAATATGGAAAGTGAAAATCTGAAGAGAATGTCAGTGAAGAGCGTCTGGAAACCACAGAAATTAGGAGTGTCCTGAACGACTTCTGCGGGGTATTGTGGGAGAGTGCAGAAGATTCAGTCAAGGTACTGTATTTTATTCTGTCTGTAATGTTTTGAGKGTTTCACAGTCCCTGCACGAGGTGGTTCTCTAAAACACTTCAGTGGCCCTTACTTGGCTGATTGTAAAGGGCAGGACTGAAGGTTTTTCAGCTATTTGTCAAGGACCCATAAAGAATGAATCTCTGGAGTAAGAGGCTGAAAAGGAAAAGGCAGGAACAGTASTATTTTATTCTAGCTGCATCTGCAAATTCAGACTAGCAAATTATATCAGAAAGTGCTCCAAAATACAGTGTCTCCATGCTGAAAACTTGGGTTTGCTTGCAGATGGTCTTGTCTCCCTCCACACATTTAAAAAATGGGCTTTTCTTTTTCCCCACCCCTTTTCATTTTCTTTTTTACAGTGGTGTTGTTCTTCTCCCATTCCTACTTCCCTTATTTCCTTTCYCTTGCAATGTAATTTTCTGATTATGAGGCTTGTACTGCCTCAGCAACCTTTGCTCCACTTTGATTTTTCATTGTGTTTTCCTCTGATATTGTCTTGTATTTTGTCTGTTTCTATTGTTTATTTGGGTGGGCTTTTAGTAAGGAAATTTGAAACTCTCAGCATCATGCTCAGCTGTCAACTGTCTTTTCAGCTCCTGAGCTCAGTGAGGGAAAAAATCAAACACATTCAAATCAAAAAAGTGTAATAATATTTCCCAATYTTTCATGACCAATGTACAAAAAAAWATGAAATTAACAAGTAACTTTCTCTCTTTCAGATGGCCACATTTTGTCTAAGCTGAAATGAAGCACCGTTTTAAGAATGAAAGAAAAAGACAGAGTTTTGCTCATCAACATTCAGCATGGAATTTGTGTGACACAATTGTAGCTCATTAAATAATAAAAAATGTATTTAAAAACCATATAAAACAAGCATTTGTGATTTTGTGAGACATTTTGATTTTACTTGAGTGGCCTAACACAGGTTCACGTCACAAGTTTCTTGCAATTCCTGCGTCTCATGTTGTGCATCAGCCAGTGCATCGCAGCTGATGCATCCACTTGGCTGGGACTCAGATGRATGTTTTCTCAGGTTCCACCTGCCGTGCACATATTTTGATCTGCTCTTCTATTTTTGTGCCAAGCTGATGTATTACACAAAGCTGTCTTTGACTTACGGATTTTACACGGAGTGTAGAGCCACAGCTGTATCCCAATTTATCCATGACTGTCTCCATGCTCTTCTCCAAAGCTCTTCTCGGTTTTATAGTTTAAACATTTTATGACCTTTGGACTGGGACTGAAATGAAGGTTTTTTGATGGATTTTCAAAGTAGGAATGTTGGCTTCCTGCCATCCTGAGGATTTGTTAGGAAACCTCTGGGGACAATGGAGAATCTATGCAGTAAACACTTCGGCTGAAGATGATAACCTACACTGATTTCACAAGGATACCTAAAAAATAGAGGCTCAATATCAAAGTTATCATTGCTCTCTTCACAGGTTTATGATTCCTTTTATATTTGTTGTACATTTTCTTCTCTCTTTAGAAAATAACAACCAATAATAAAAAAATACACACCTAAAGTGTATTTTTAAGACAAAAGCTATTATATTCAGTTTAAGAAAACAGGAACTTCAAATGCATGTGATAATGTTATTTATGCCATGGTGTTTTCCTTCAGAACAGGAAAGATAAGGTTCCTGTGTGCTATCATGGGACTCCTTCTTTGAGRTTTCTTTTACTTTCTTAGTTCCCTCACTGAACTAAGTCTACTCTCTGTGTCTTCTCTTCCAGCAGCAGAAGAAAACTTCTGATTAATTTGTTTTTCTTTTAGTTGTAAAGAGTCAATCGTCAATACTTTTGTYATTTAAACTTACTGGCAAGTCCATGCACATTCAGAACAGAAAAAARCCACCATCAGGTGTTACAGGTGCTCAGGCTTATTACTATTATTATTACTTTCAGAAACCATAATACACTGTAATCTTTTTTCATGGTCTAACCTCATTTTTCACTGTGCGAGAAGGTGGCAGTGGTGGTGACAGGTAATGATCTCTGTTTCCTAAGATTTGTGAGGTACAGTAGCATTTTCCTTTACTGTCTTGAACTAAATTTTATAAAATGGAGCCCTRTTGCTTATAGCAGAAAAAGCAGATACCAGATGAGGATGACTGCCTGTCTAGCTGAGCTGTCCTTCCTTATTATCAGTGTGTGTTTCTGAGGGCAAAAGGCCAGCATCTTGTTATTCCAAAGTGTCTATAATAAGACATTCAAAATAAGTACTTCCAAGGTCTGAAAGCTGAATGTSAAACCATGAATCAAGTGTCTGGGATATATGGGGATGAATTTGGTCAATGACATCTTTGTCTCATAAACCACTGAGGAACATAATTTTCAAAGCTGTTGTCAGCTTTAAAGAAAGCTGCTATGGGGGAACTATGTGACTTTTTTTTTAACCAATATCACCTACAAAACTGAACAGAGGGGAAAAAGAAAGGTATTTTTCTATAATGTCCTTTATGCAATTCAACCAGAAAGTGCTGTAGGTTGATCATAGCACTCATTTTAGAATGTTTGAMATTTTTCCTCTTCAGTATTATCATGTACCAGTGTTTAGATACTGCATAAAATATGCACATAAACACACACACTGATCACTCCTCAATTTAATTTATCCTCCTTAATCACTCCTCCTTAATTTATTCTTCAGCTACAGTTTCCACATCTCTGTGAGGAAATGTGGCTGCAGGAATGTCTCTATCTCTTACTCCTTCTACTCCTTTCCCTTCTCTTGCCATGTTTAAAAAATTTAAAAAATCATTGACTTCTCTTTCTGTGTGTTTTACAATCTTATTATGATGGTACATATACAATATTATCAGGAAAAATCAGATATTAACCACACAATACCTGTCCATTCATCTAGCTCATTCTCTCCTTTTATGTTTGTCCTCTGCTTTTGGACAGCAAGAGTCAACTGCACACTGACCCATGGCAGGGTGAGGATGGTGTTCCCAGGGAACACGCTGCCTGCGTGGAATTGGAGCAGGGCTGCATTCATTGCTAGCAGCTGCATTGCTTGACTTAAATTTCCTCCAAGATCAGAATTACCTCAACCTCCAAGTTAGACTAGGCCAAGATTTCTTATTCTTGAACTCGTGGCATTTATTTTCAAGCATTTTATGTCTCATTGTTTGTATTGCATTAAGAAAAGATTGCTAGGGGTTTGAGGGGTTTTTTTTTCATTTTAAACTTGTGGATTTGTATCCCCATCACTGTAGTGAAATCAGCAACACAGAGCTTGCAGCTCTTTTCATTATCCATTTTCCATTGCAGAATATGGGATCTGGGAGAGCTTAAAACTTCAATCTGGAATGTGACATTTGTGAGCACATCCATGCAAATGTCACAGTAGTGCACTGGACAGCTACACACCAACTCTGAACTGTTTCTAGGTTTATAATAGTCACGGTTATTAGCAGCACATATGTGTGTCATATGTCTTTATATATAATCTGTATAGCCTTTCTCTTAATGTCTCTCTGACTGCCTGCACGAACAATTTACAAATTAGCATTGTTGAGTTTGCTATTTTTCATCAGATTCTTCATAGCATCATCAGATGCCACACCTTATACCAGTCTTTTACTCTGGACATCAAACAACATGGACAATACTGACCTGTCTGAACTCAGTATGTTCTGTCATGTCTGACTGGAAACTCGCATGCCTGAAACTTCAAACCTGCTTACCTTGGCACATATATTCGTAAAAACAAAATGGTTACAAGAAGTTCTTCCTCCGTCTGTGACAGTCCAATACATTGAATGTCACTTTCACGTTTTCTTCAAGAACTAGGACTTCACAAAATGGGTATCTGAAACACTGAGTATCTTTAGCTCTTAAGAAGAGGAATTTGTATAAGCCAGCTTCTTCTAGCACTTTGTGGGGCAAGCAAGAAAATCAGAAAACCAGCACAAAAAAGATTATATCAAGGAAAGATTGTGTACTGAGAGTCGCGTTGTGTACTGAGAGTCGCGTTGGCATGAGTTGCACCATAAAGAGCAATGCTGATGTGAACTCCTTATCAGGAGGGGTATTTTCAAATTCTACAGCAGAGTCTGCAGCTGGAATACAAAGAAACCTGCTGAAATAATAGTCAAGTCTCAAAAATCACTTTAGTGACAAAATGTAACCTGAACAGTGAGAATCTGTGGACATAACTCTGGCATTAACATTTACCACTAAGGAAAATGACTCAAGCAGTGCTTTCCATCATTTCACCTGCTTCTATTCGTTATAACCTATTGGCATACAGCTGGAATTAAGAGTATCTGCTGCTGGAGGAGCCCAGCCAGCATCTGTCGCTAGATTTCGTATTTTTCCAACATTAAAAAAAAGAGTCATGCTGCACTTGCAGACCTCTAGGGCTCCTTTCCATTTCCTACACAGGACTCTGCACTKTCTTAGTGATTGCATCCAGCTCTTCAAGGAACAAGAGGGTTTCACCCCTATCAGTTAATGGTTGTGAAGTGAAAAGTACCTTTTTCCAGCTGTTAGAGTGCATCAACCCACCACATAAGCCCTGTCTTTATTCTGTTTTTACAAACATGCTGGAGATCTTTAGGAGCACCATCTGAGATCTGTAAAGCACCAACATGGAGCAGTGCATCAAAGTGACAAAAATTATACCCTCAGCATGGAAACTGGRGCAGATGTGAAGATCAGAATTGGTGTGTTCCTGTCAGCTTTGGGTGAAGGCCATGCCAGTCCTTTCTCCAGAAAGGGTGCAGTGGTGGGGGGAAGGAAGAACCAGTTTTATGTGCAGGGGTCCATGYTTGCACATTACCAAAGGAAGAAAGAATGCTTACATCTCCAGTAACGTGGTTCTTCCTAGTGATGTCACCAGTGTGGATCCCGTATCCAGATTTCAGTTCTGATGATCAGTCCTCACCAGGTTTGAGTTGTAAAGGTATTAAAAGTCACTCCTGGTGCCTCCAGGTTACTCTAGGGTTGATAATACTACCGCATCGAGACCTGAGAGAAGTCGTGAGCCACATGTTTCATTCAGTTCCACTGATAACCCTGATTCACAGCTACTCAATTTTTACTTTCAGGCCTGTYCTTTTATAGTAAGAGTCCTCATGACAGCATCCAATCATTAGATAGAATGTCTACAAAATTAAGTATGCATGAAAAGCAATGCAGCACTTACACAAAATACTACCTTCATAGTCTTTTAAATAGGAGATATAACTACAGYCTTTCAAGTCCTACCAGCAAACTAGGATTCAGCTACATTTCCAAATCAGAGGGATCAGTGGAGGCAGCTTTGCAAGGAAAATCCTTTGCTGTTTATGTGGGAGGGTTTTGGGACAGGATTGGATATGTATTTTTTCAAGACTATGTATTATCTTCCTTGTCTTTAGAATTACTTCCTGTTTCAAACTCTTAGKTCACTTTTGTCTGTGCATTTGAGTAACAGGACATCTGAGAGGAAAGTGACAGCAGTGACGGCAGTAGTGAATTTGAGATTATCTTGGACAGACCTCTTCAGTATAACTACATTGCTTTTTGCACAACTTGGTTTTCACTTTATTTAATCCCTTTYTGTTTGACTAATTTCATGATAAAGCAAAATTATTCTATGGCTAATAATCCATATCATACAACTGAAGTGAAAGAGCTGAAATGTATCTTGATCTCAATATTTATAACTGCTGTTTGTTGTATGTGTGTTACATAATCCCATCTATAATTGAAATTTACTATTGATTGCTAGGTGTACATGAAATCATTTTGTTGATTTATATAAGGAGTGCRCAAGATTGGTATGAACATGACACAGAGGCTGTTTTTATTAATAAATGTATACCAAGGATGTGTATGTACACCAAAGCAAAGATGATGTCCGTTCAGTGGGAGGAAAACTGCAGATGTTTTTAAAGATGTTTATATGTGGGAAACAGGCACTGTATGATGTATTTAATGAAGCCTTTTGCATTCACTTTGAGGCCAAAGAGGTATGTTTGGTAAACCTGCTTTTTCCTTCCTCTTCTCTCTCTGCAGCTCAGAACACTGGAATCTCAACTTTGTACAGGAATTCGTATGGTGCGCCTGCTGAAGATATCAAACATAACCAGGTAGGTACAGAGACTAAAATGTTACTGTTCCAGATGGCTAAAGACTGGTGCAATGTCATATGTGGAAATGGAAGATAAATACCACAAATTTAAAAATATCACAGATAAACAGATTGACTCATGTAGAATTTGACTCCTATGTCCAAATTAAACACCTGTGTTTGAATATGTGAAATGAAATAAGGTCCAGAATATCCTTTATACCTTGATAGCAGTTCTAGAAATAGCAACTGGAGTAGTTACGTGCCTTTGTGCAATTGTAATATTGGACCCAAATTTGTTAGATCACTTGTGGGACTGCTAAAAATGGTGAACTTAGGCAGCTTTTTTCAATCTCTGCTTATAGTCCAATACAGATACTTGTTTTGAACAAATATCATAGAATTTGGGCCATAGCAGTTTAACTATTCCTCTAATCTTGAGGGAATATTATTAACACGTGCAGACTCAGCAGGAAACACAAAGTMTTTTGGCATTGATGTCTGGGCATCAGTATTGTGAGTAATGACCATGTGGGGATTGACAGGCTACATCACTTTTCAGTCACAAAGTCTGCATAAAGTGGAAGATAGTCTTCCAGGATAGTGAACATGTATTTATGCATTTCAGATTTCAATAAAGACCCAACTATAAAAACAGAGTTGCTACGGCTTTTGAAAAAAAAATTATGGCAGCCTTAGGTTAGGGGACCATCTGAGGGGTTTTTTTCTGCTTATCGTAAACATCTCGGCTTCAAGGCAAATAGCTTGAATGTACCAACAACACAAGATTGTCAACATGAAGTGTTGAGGAGGTGGTAAGAAGATGCTTCTGCTTAGCAGTAGCACAAGAACCCATTTCAGGGCACTTTTCTCATGTCAGTGCCCTGAAGACTGTAAATGGTTCTTAAAGATATGGTGTCACCTGTGTCCCTAAATTTCACTTCAGTCAAAGGCAGATGCAAAATGTTTAGCATCTTTCAAGTGTAAATTCAAATTCTTCAAGGCTGAGTTTTGGTCACCAATATTTGCATTATACAGCTGCAAGTTATTGTAGCTATGAAAGGGAAGTATAAGCTATTTGTCATGAACTACTTTTGACATAAACCAGCATTTTTACCATCAATAATATTAAATAATAAATGTATTAGATAATAATGAAGCTGTTAAATAAATCTAAAGGAATAAAATGAGAAGATAGAGCTGTGTAATTAATTCACTATCAAAGCAGCACTTTGAGTAGATGTTAATGCATTGCGAGCATGAGAAACCTGAGTGAGATTTACTCCTTGCATCCTGCTGCCCACAATAAGTTGTATCTAACAATCTGTGGGTATTACTCTTTCAGGTTTCAACACAGCCAGTTCCACAGGAGCCCAGCAGAAAAGATTATGAACCATATCAGCCATTTCAGAATTCAACAAGAAACTATGACGAGTCCTTCTTTGAGGACCAAGTGCATCATCGTCCACCTGCAAGTGAATACAACATGCACCTGGGACTAAAGTCCACTGGCAACTACGTCGACTTCTACTCAGCTGCTCGTCCCTATAGTGAACTTAACTATGAAACAAGCCACTATCCAGCCTCTCCCGACTCCTGGGTTTGAGACTTGGGCAGATACAAAAGCTCCAGGAACTGTGCATGTGCATGCATACCACGAGACATTTTTTTTCCTGCMAATTTAGTTTGTTAAAGCCTGTTCCATAGAAAGGCACAGATAACCAGTGTGGAAAAAAACTAAGAGTTTTTTTTAGAAGGCTACAAGATATGAAAGCTAAACCTGGGAGTAATTAGAAAGAAATATATATATACATATATATATTTTACAGTGTGGGGCAACTTTACTGTTGGCCTGTAGAGTCTAAAGTTCAGTGCTGTATATTGAACGTGGCTGAAGGACGGAGGAAGAACATGACAGTGGATCTGGGTCAGGAGTTAAGCACAAGTTACCGAGCAGCGTACATGCTTTATGGGGAACAGCTTCTCACACTTTGTTTAATATCCTCATTCATTGTGAATCTAGGCTTCAAGTTGCATTTGGGGTTTCCTCTGTACAGCAAGATGTTTCTTGCCTTTTGTTAATGCATTGTTGTAAAGTATTTGATGTACATTACAGATAAAAAGAAAAAAAGGTGCATTGTGTATATTACACCAATGCCACAGTGTTTCTTCATCTATGGTTCTAAATATTGCTTCAATTTCAAATTTTGAAAGATGTATGAATTTCCAGTTTTTTGTTTTCTTTTCCCCGGTGCGTTTTAACAAAAAAAAAATCAAAAAAAAAATCAAAAAACAAAAAGGAATATTTAGCAGTATTGTTTGTTCTGGTATGTGAATTTGTTTGTGGCAACTAAAAAAAAGGCATTCAGCAGTTTCTGACAATTAACATTCATCATTCCACACTCCTTGTCAACGAAGTGCTTTTTCACTGCCTAAAATTTTAGATGTAGATATTTGAAATAGATTTTTTTCATTTATACCAGTTTTCTTTATGATGATACAGTGTTAAAAGAAAATAAATTACAATTGATCTGTCATCCATATTTGCTAAGAATGTCTATTTCCAAGAACCTACCATACAAATACACATTCTTACTCGTGTGTGTCCACGTATGCATAGTATTCCGTGTGCGTGTGTTTGAGTGTGTGTGTTTGTGTGGCGTAAGACTTCTTTTCATCCAATGTTCTCCTTGTTAAGCTTCAATTTTTGTTTGATTTTCAGTTCTTTTAAACAGTGGAAACTCCAGTATGTGCTTTCTCTTACTCACTTCCCTAACCATCGATAGCAATCTGACATTGCTAGGCCACATGCTCACAAAAGAAGGGGTAACCGATTTTTTTATCACCAACTCCATCACCCTCAGGTGCCATTTCCTTGAAAATAGCATCTTTTGATCTCCTCTTGAGAAAATTTCATTACTCTCCAGCCACCAACCAGTAAGTGCTCAAGGAAGGCAGAGTTTGATCTTGCCATCTCCGTGAGGGAATTGAAAACTAAGACCCATTAGACTTTAATCTGGACTCTCCAAACTCTTTAGACTACGGAAGGGTCCAATTCTTGAACCATTAGGACAATCATTTATTTTAACCCATACCAAAAATAAAACCCAACACCCAGAATACATTCCTCAAATATGAAAATAAAGACCATTTCTGCATTTTTGCATTTAAAGTAAAATTCTAAAAAATGTAAGGGACAGAGAGGTTTGTTGTTAATTTTTTTAATTTAAAAAGAAAAGAACAGCTACATAGGCTAGGAGGCCAGAAGAACTGGCATATTCATCTTAGCTCTTATAATGCTGGAAGGGAAAAAAAAAAAAAACCCATTTCTTCATTTCTGTGATTCAGGCAACRAATAGTTCAGCATACAGTTTTCAGAGCATAAGACCCACCACAAATGGAGTAGTTGTAAATTGCTTAAATTACCAATAAGGAATTTGTTTTAGGTTGCAAACATTTCTGTGGTTAGTCACTGTAATAGTTTTAACATCACCTGGCACACTTCTGGCTGTGTGCAGGGGGAGAAGTCTCTCACAAGTCATCACCTGCTCTATAGGACGCAGCCCAAGTAGTTCATGCAGGCGGGTATTGTGATGTAGAATTGGTTCATTGGTAATCTAGGACTATAGTTTAATCTTTTTGGCAGCTTTTCCCAGTGTACGATATGTAACCTTTGCTCTTTGTAGTAAACGGGGGAAAAAAAATAGCATGCAAAAAAATTTTTAAAAAATTTCAGAAAGGGTGGGTGGGAGGGACACAGTGGGCCAGATGTATAGTGAGGTAGATAAAAATACTATTCATAGTTTTGGACACAGGTTGTTTATATTTTATTTATTACATTGATTTTAATAAGTGACATTTGCAGTGCTTTTTTGAACAAAGCACATTTTCAGTATAAAAGCTTTTTTTTAATAAAGAATGTCACTCGCAACTGGAAGTTCTTCTTGACTGCCTGATAAACACCAGGCTCTGGTGCAGCTCTCCAGGCACAAWGTTTGCCAGCAGGCCAAGGGGGATGCATCGCTCTGTTCAAAGTTCTTAGGACAGGATAYTATTGTAAGTTGGATATATTTCCATTCTTCAAACTACTGAAATGCCCACATTGCCCTCTTTCAGCTCCTGTTAGGAATTACTTGGAGTCAAATGTTGACCATTGCTCAAGTGAGAGATTCTGGATTGATGACGTGGCATAAAATACCTTTTGTCTATACTTTGTGTTGKTTTGTTTCCATTCTTCTGTGGTGGCAAGTGCTCCAACTGGTAATGTTCATTCCTGCTGTACTGGGTTTTGAGAAGGTGTTGAATTACCTGGCTTCCTTTCCAGGTTTGGAAATACAGCACTGCCACCATACTGAGCAAGATATATATGATGCATTCTTTTTAATATTGAGGAAAGTATCATTACCTATTGCTGTTCCCTTCATTCTTGTACTAGATCACACACAGAAATAGAGAAGAAACAAAACTGTTCCAAAAAAATGTATAAAATGCAATTGATGTACTGTAAAATGTCGGATTTTTTTTTTTTTAACAAGCTTCGTATTAGAATCTTGTTCAGCTGTGTAGAGCTATATAAATCTCACTGTTTTATTAAATGCTGTTTATGGTCTGGAAGGAATGGTTAACCTATCTCAAGATTTAACAAATTTGCACTAACATGAGCAATATTGATTTGAAAAAAAATATGAATTCAATATTTAAAAGATAAACTATGATTTTAAAGGTATATTAACACTGAAAGTACATTTTGACAAATAACATATTTAAGCCCAAAATATAAATGGTTATGTCAGATAACACAAAAGAACTATAACAATATAGATTGAGAAAAAAAAAATGTGTTTCACTGTACATGTTGCTAACATGTACAAAGACAAACTCATATTGACGTATTTTCTATTAATAAATCCTACTGTATTGTGGAGAATCGCTGGTCATAGTGCAGTATGTTTAAACTCAGAAGTYGACTCTGTGTGTAGAAGCTGCCCAGCTTCACACAGCACACAGATCCTTGCCATTTTAGGTATTTTAAATATTAACCCGATACCCAACTTTAATCTCTCAAGTCACTGCCCCCTCCCTCTCCACCAGGCTGATGAGCACAACCTGCTCTACGATAACCAGCCAAGGGGAAATGTATTTTTTAGAGCACCCTGTTCACCCCTAACTGTGGCTGCAAGGGCTCAGCTGCCACCACTAGGGGGGAGGGTTTATCTACACCCCTGGAAAAAAAACTGGAAACCTCAAGGCTGGTGCCGCTGGATAGGGACATGCTGTCAAAAATACGATCTTGGCCACAGGTTACATAGCCCACAGCCAAGAAATAAAGAGCAAAACATTCATTTACTTGTGCATTGCTGGAAGACCCAGCACGCAGTGCATGTAAAGCCTCATGAATAATTGTTTCCTGGGTTGCATGATGTTGCAGAGGTGTCTCTCCAAGAGGCTTGCAACTCAAATCAGAAATGCTGACTTATTTTTTTAAATCCTGGCACAGCACAGCCTGTGCATGCCAGTGCATGGCAAGGGAGGCTTTCTCATCTCTGTCACTGTTACTCATTCTCCCCTGCCAGCAGGCAGAAAGAGCTCTGAGTTTGGAGTTATTGCTTGTATTCATGRGGAGGAATGGGAGAGATGGAGACAACAATCCAAAGCAGGGGAAGAAACAAACAAAGGGCCTAAAAATATACTCAGAGTTTGCGTGTGACGATAGATCCACACCTGTAATTACTAACAGTGGAATGGACCCAACAAGAGATTTTATGCACCAAGATCTTCAAATATTACATGACCTTAATGTAATGARCATTAATAGTGGCAGTGTGATGCACACAAAGCTTTGTGCTTGAAAAGTGGGATGAAGCAGCAGAGAGCAGTCCCAGGTCACTGCTGGGCAATTCCAGCTTCAGCCAGCAGATGTTGGCATGTGGGCAGAGACTGCCTCCTGCCAGGAGAGGGGTGACTCTTGGTGAAAATTTAGTTTCAAGCTTTCAGACTAAGTCAAAACAACATCAGGCAGATAAAACAGAGCTTTTTGCAAACCTCCCCCAGCCCCACTGTTCCCAATGGCAGAATGAGGTCCCCCTAGCAGATACAAGGACATGGGGGACAATCCCATCATGGGATTGCAAGGGCCCTTTGCTCCGAGCTGGATAACATCTGGTGCAGGTGTTTGTCTGACAGCTGCCAGGGCCAGGRCTGAGCTTGTCCAGCAGCTGCAGCCACTTCCAGTTTCAAGTCCAGCATTTCCCTGGAGGACAGATGAGCACCAACATCTGCCAAAGAACTGTGCAGTCCTGGCTCTCTCCCAGGGACTAGACAGTTTCTAAATAGTGGCCTAAAGCCAGTTTCAGACAYTGAGGCTGAAAGTGAGAGATTTGAGTTCAATCTCCAGGCGAGGGGGCTGAAGCCTGTGGTTGATACCTGTAAGGAGAGGGGCATCCCCCTCTTCCAGGCTGTCCTAAAAGACAAGTGAGGAAAGCTGTGCTGGCTGTCACATATCTTTGGACAACCTGGGTTCTAACTCATGCTCCACTCTTCTGAGGGCCAAACCAAACAGCTCCACATAACCCAAACTTTTCTACTTCTTCCTCCCCAGTGCTTCCCTGGGTTTTACACCATCTCAACTGGGACATGTCAGTCAAAAGGATGGCACACCAGAGTTCTCTGCAGATCTAGCAAGGCACTTGCATGGGTGCTGGGCTAGTCAGGTGCAGTACTTTAGCAGGACACAGTGCCAATTAGTTCTTAAACCTAATTCTCAATCAAACTCACTTTAGTATTTAAATGCAATTTTAAAAGCATTTTCCTTCCTCTGTGAGCATTGGCATTGCTTTGCCAGAAGAAAGCACGTGCTAAACTCTTGCAATCTGTAAATGTTTCTCTTACACCTAATTTCAAAGCCCACAGAAATCCCTGGAAGGATTTCCATCAGCTTCACCGGGCCCAAAGTGACGACAGGTGAAGAATTGGTACAACCTTCTCAAAGGATGTGCACATCGAGGTCACTCTTGCCAGCACATCAAAGGCTGCAACCTTCTAATAGCTAACAGGAGAAAAAAGTTATTTGCTGGTACCTGTCTGTCAAAATTTACTCTAGAGCCTTTGCCTCTCTGCACTTTTATTTTTGCTGCTTTCAGAGAGTGACATAGATAAAAAATGCTCACAGTGACTGTTGCAGTTAATTTCAGTAGCTGGATGAGTAGTCTCAGACACCAAAATACCTTTCTTTTCCAATTTTAAACTTGCCACTAAACCTAGGAAAGCAAAACAGCAGTGGTTTGCTGATTCATTACTTTTCACAAATTCAATTAAAATAGTAATTCACGTAAGTCTTTTCATTTATTCAGTTTTCATTTATTGGCTATGGGGGTTGATTTTTACCTAATTTATTTATTTTACATTAATGTAAGATAGGCAGAAAATGTTGATAACTAAACATCAAAACAGTAACTTGTTTAATAACATCAAGTCTGAAGAGAAAATTTGTGACATAGAATTCAGGCTACTGTATGCAGACACAATCAATTATTACCTCAGTCATCAACAGAGACAAAGAGAAATAAAACATTTCTACCATTTGGAGCCTAACAACTTCTATATCAAATATGTCTATTTAAAAAAAAATTCTACTCTTTCCCTCAGACAAATGACACTACAAACAAACAAACAAAAAAACCATCACCCCAAAACCCCACAACCTTTCCTTAAGCTACCCTGTTTTTTTTATTGGGTTGGTAGGAGGAAAGGAGAATCTGCACCATATGCAATATTTGAACAATATGTTTTGTTGCTTTTGTTTCTGCCTAAGGCCTGTGGATGTGGGCAAGACTAGAACTCATTTCAGTGCTGTGGCAGCATTAAGCAAATCAAAATATGCCAAATAGCAGCTGCAGTGCCAAATGTGACAGCCACCACTTCCAACACCCTGGCTGCCACTGCAGGCTTGTCATCATGGGGAAGAGAAAAGAGAGTGTCAGCCTGCTGTTACACAGACACAGCAGCTCTGAGTGAAGAGTGAAAAGAATGAGCTGTGTGAAAGCTGTTTGGGAAAGAAGGGCTGTGTCTGTCACGCCTGTGGGTGCCCTCGCTGAGTGTGACGAGCTGTGGCAATGCTTGGGGCAGCCCCCAGCCTGTGAGAGCACCAAGGTGGGGGTCAAGGGTGGGCAGCAGTGGGCAAAAGTGGGCAGAAGCATCTTAGATCTCGGCAGGGCACAGGTGCTGGGGCCAAGGAGCCATTGCTGGCCAGAGAGTGCTCAGAATGCTGCAGCTTCAAGGGTCTCAGAGCTGACTGGGCATCACTGCCTTATTCTGCCCCTGCATCTCAGCCAGGGGCCTTCCTGTCCAGATTTTTGCTTTACTTTCCGTCAGTATGGTTTAAGAGGTGACCTGTTCAGTTGGTTTGTTTTTTTTTTTTTATTCTGGTCCTTTCTGTACAAATAATACATGGAATGGTTGATGGGACCCTAAAGATCATTTAGTCCAAATTTCCTCCCATGGACGGGGACACCTTCCACTAGACCAGGCTTCTCAGAGCCCCATCCAGCCTGGCCTTGGACACTTCCAGGGATGGAGCATCCACAGCTTCTCTTGGCAACCGGTTCCAATGTCTCATCACCCATGGTAAAAAAATTTCTTCCTAGCATCTAATATGAATCGACTCTCTTTATAATTCAATACCACTCCACTTGTCCCATCATTATCTGCCTTTACTTAGAATGGTTTAAGAGGTTA